TTTCTCATGTTTTGGGTTTCTCGGCCCCTGGGTTGTGCTTTTGTGTTCTCTGACCCTGGTGTGTTTTCTCGTGTTCTCGGCTCCTGGGTTGTTGTATCGTTTTCTCGGGCGCTGGTTCTTTGTCTTGTTTTCTCGTTTTCGCTGCCCCTGGGTCGTTTTCGCGTTTTCTCACTTCCTCGGCCCCTGGGTCGTGGTCTCGTGTTCTGTGACCCTTGTTCGTTTTCCCTTTCTCTTGTTTTCTCGGCTCCTGGGTCGTGGTCCAGTTTTCTCGGCCCCAGGTTTGTTTTCTCGTTGTCGCGTTTTCTCGGCCCCTTGGTCGTAGTCTCGTTTCCGCGGGCCTCGTTTAGTTCTCTCGTTTTCTCGGCCCCTGGGTCGTGGTTTCGTTTTCTGGCCCTGGTTCGTTTTCTCGTTTTCTCTGCCCCTGGGTCGCGGTTTGGTTTTTTAGGACCATGGTTAGTTTTCTCATGTTCTCGTTTCGCGGCCCCTGGATGGTGCTTTTGTTTTCTCTGCCCCTGGTTCGTTTTCTCGTTGTCTCTGCCCCTGGGTCGTGGTCTTGTTTTCTCTGACCCTGGTTCGTGTTCTGGTTGTCTTGTTTTCTCGGCCCCCGGGTCGTGGTCCAGTGTTCTCGGACCCTGGTTAGTTGTCGCGTTTTCTTGTTTTCTCGGACCCTGGTCGTGGTCTCGTTTTCTCCGACGCTGGTTTGTTTTCTCGTTTCCTCGGCCCCTGGGTCGTACTCTCGTTTTCTCGGCCTCTGGTTCGTTTTCTCATTTTCTCTGCCCCTGGGTCGTGGTCTTGTTATCTCGGACCGATCCTCGCGTTTTCTCGGCCTGGAACGTGGTCTCGTTTGCTCGGCCCCTGGGTCGTGTTCTCGTGTTCTCCGCCCCTGGGTCGTTATTTCGTTTTCTCGGACCCTGCTTCATTGTCTCGTTTTCTCGTTTTCTCTGGTCCTGGGTTTTGTCTCGTTTTCTCGGCCCCTGGGTCGTGGGTTCGTTTTCTCGGGCACCGGTTTGTTTTCTCGTTGTCTCGTTTTGTCGGCCGCTGGGTCGTGGTCTCATTTTCTCTGACCCTGGTTCGTTTTTGCGTTTTCTCTGCCCCTGGGTCGTGGTCTCGTTTTCTCGGTCGTACCCTGGGTCGAGGTCTCGTTTTCTCGTTTTCTCGGCCCCTGGGCCGTGGTCTCGATTTCTCGGACCCTGCTTCGTTTCCTCGTTTTCTCAGCCCCTGGGTCGTGGTCTCTTTTTCTCTGACCCTGGGTCGTCGTCGTCGGTCGTCGGTCGTGCGTCATCCGTCGTCCTTCGCCGTCTTCGTATGACCTCGTCCTCGTCGTGACGACCACGACGAGGTCATACGAAGAGGGCGACAATGACGGCGACTGCGGCGACGACGACGACGAGGACGACGACGGCGTCGTACGAAGACGTCGAGCGACGGCGACCGCAACGACGACGGCGACGGAGGAGGATCGTCCGGCAGGGGGAGTTCGAGCTAGGGGGGCGGTAGCTAAGCCGCCCCTCCCCTTTGGGAAAGGGGGGGAGGGGAGGGGAGCTTCCGGCAGGGGGAGAAAAATGGAGGGAAAGCGGGGGAGGCTTCCGCCGGCAGAGGGGGGTCAAAGGAGGGGGGGGGGTAGCTAAGCTCCCCTCCCCTTTCTCAAGGCGGGGGGGGGTAGCTTCCTGGCTGCCGAAAGGGGAGGGGGGGGGGGGTAGCTTCCGGCAGAGGGGGTTCAAGGGGAGGGGGGGAATAGCTAAGCCCCCCCCTCCCTTTGGAAAGGGGGGGAAGGGGGGGTAGTTTCGGAGTGGCGAAAGGGGGTGAGGGGGGGGGAGCTTCAGGAGGGAGGCGAAAAAGGGGGGGAGGGGGGGGGAGCTTCCAGCAGGGGAGGTGGAAGGGAGGAGGGGGTAGCTGAAGGGAGCTGAAGGGGTACCCCCCCCTCCGCTCCGGCGCTGTAGGCGCGCTCTCTCGGGCCTTCGGTGGAGCTCCCTATGGGGCCACGAAACGTGGTGTGAGGGGTGTGCCGACATGAGTGTACGTGACGCATGCGGGCTGCGCCACTCGGACCTTCGGCGGAACTCCCTATAGGGCCACGAAACGTGTGAGGGGTGTACCGAAATGGGTGTGCGTGACGCATGCGGGCTGCGCCACTGGGACCTTCGGTGGAGCTCCCTATGGGGCCACGAAGCGTGTGAGGGGTGTGCCGACATGGGGCTGCGTGACGCATGCAGGCTGCGCCACTTGGACCTTCGGTGGAGCTCCCTATGGGGCCACGAAACGTGTGAGGGGTGTGCCGCAATCGGTGTGCGTGACGCATGCGGGCTGCGCCACTCGGACCGTCGGCGGAGCTCCCTATGGGGCCACGAAACGTGTGAGGGGTGTGCTGCGTGACGCATGCGGGCTGCGCCACTGGGGCGTTCGGTGGAGCTCCCTATGGGGCCACGAAGCGTGTGAGGGGTGTGCCGAAACGGGTGTGCGTGACGCATGCGGGCTGCGCCACTGGGACCTTCGGTGGAGCTCCCTATGGGGCCACGAAACGTGTGAGGGGTGTACCGAAATGGGTGTGCGTGACGCATGCGGGCTGCGCCACTGGGACCTTCGGTGGAGCTCCCGATGGGGCCACGAAGCGTGTGATGGGGTGTGCCGCAATGGGTGTGCGTGACGCATGCAGGCTGCGCCACTTGCAACTTCGATGGAGCTCCCTATGCGGCCACGAAACGTGTGAGGGGTGTGCCGCAATGGGTGTGCGTGACGCATGCGGGCTGCGCCACTGGGACCTTCTGTGGAGCTCCCTATGGGGCCACGAAGCGTGTGAGGGGTGTGCTGCGTGACGCATGCGGGCTGCGCCACTGGGACCTTCGGTGGAGCTCCCTATGGGGCTACGAAGCGTGTGAGGGGTGTGCCGAAATGGGTGTGCGTGACGCATGCGGGCTGCGCCATTGGGACCTTCGGTGGAGCTCCCTATGGGGCCACGAAGCGTGTGAGGGTGTACCGAAATGGGTGTGCGTGACGCATGCGGGCTGCGCCATTGGGACCGTCGGTGGAGCTCCCTATGGGGCCACGAAACGTGTGATGGGGTGTGCCGCAATGCGCGGTCGTGGCGCATGCGTGCCGCGCCACTGGGACCTTCGGCGGAGCCCCCTACGGGGCCACGAAACGTATGAGGGGTGCGCTGCGTGACGCATGCAGGCTGCACCACTGGGACCTTCGGCGGAGCTCCCTATGGGGCAACGAAACGTGTGATGGGGTGTGCCGCAATGCGCGGTCGAGGCGCATGCGTGCCGCGCCACTGGGACCTTCGGCGGAGCCCCCTACGGGGCCACGAAACGTATGAGGGGTGCGCTGCGTGACGCATGCGGGCTGCGCCACTGGGACCTTCGGCGGAGCTCCCTATGGGGCAACGAAGCGTGTGAGGGGTGTGCCGAAACGGGTGAGCGTGACGCATGCGGGCTGCGCCATTGGGACCGTCGGCGGAGCTCCCTATGGGGCCACGAAGCGTGTGAGGGCTGTGCCGAAATGGGTGTGCGTGACGCATGCGGGCTGTGCCATTGGGACCTTCGGTGGAGCTTCCTGTGGGGCAACGAAACGTGTGATGGGGTGTGCCGCAATGGGTGGTCGAGGCGCATGCAGGCTGCCCAACGGGGACCTTCGGCGGAGCTCCCTATGCGGCCACGAAACGTGTGAGGGGTGTGCCGAACTGGGTGTGCGTGACGCATGCGGGCCGCGCCACTGGGGCCTTCGGTGGAGCCCCCTACGAGGCCACGATGATAATGATGATGATGATGATGATGATGATGATGATGATGATGATGATGATGATGATGATGATGATGCTGATGATGATGATGATGATGATGATGATGATGATGGTGGTGGTGGTGGTGGTGGTGGTGGTGGTGATGATGATGATGATGATGACGATAATAACGGTGGCAGCGATAACGACGATAATGACGACGACGATGTTGATGATGATGACGATGATGATGATTATTCCGATATCGATGATGATGATGATGATGTTGATGATGATGATGATGCTGATGATGATGCTGATGATGATGATAATGATGATGATGATGATGATGATGATGATGATGATGATGATGATGATGATGATGATGATGATGATGATGATGATGTTAATGATGATGCTGATGATGATGACGACGATGACGACGATGACGACGATGAGGATGAGGATGAGGATGAGGATGAGGATGAGTGTGAGGAGGAGGAGGAGGAGGAGGAGGAGGAGGAGGAGGGGGAGGAGGGGGAGGGAGGAGAAGAGGAGGGGTGTGACGCGGGGCGCTGTCTCTTCAAAACGAGGATCCAGCACCACAGGATGGCTGGGATTTCACCAGGTCTTCACAGATTGAGGGCGGGTCGTTTTTCAAAATATGGTTCTGGCCTAAGCGCCGCGCACATGCGTTCTAACAACTCACAAGAGCTTCATGGATTGAGGGCAGATCGTTTCAACATGTGGTTCTCGCTCGCCCTAGCACCGTGCACATTCATTTTACAACTTTCAAGCACTTCACGGATTCAGGGCGGGTGGTTTTCAACATTTGGTTCTCGCCTTTGTGCCGCGCACATTTCTTTGAAATAATTACAAGGGCTTCTCGGATTCCCATGATGAACGTACCAGAATTGGCGTTCTGGAAGGATTCAGGATTATGCTGGCGCAACAGTTATGTTGATTCGCGGTGTTGGGATCCCAAAACCGGCGTTCTGGCAGGGTTCCAGATCGTCAGGACGAAGCAGTCAGGTTGATCCGTGGTTGGGGAATCCCGCAAACAATGATTTGGCATGCTTCAAGGTCTTCAGACGGTTGTCTTCCAACGAGGCATTTAGTTCCCCCAATGGGATTGAGCCGCTGTAGGGGCCTATGAAGAGGAAGCTTGGAGGGAGGGTTAATTCCAACGTCGTTGTTGACTCTTGGGTTTACACTGGTCCTCCTCGTCGTCCTCCTCCTCGTTATCTTCCCTCCTCCTCCCCGACAACCCCCTGCGCCGCAGGTCGCGCTGCTCTCGGACCAGGTGCCCGCCTGCTACCGCGACCCCGTGCTCGTGTTCCTGGAGGCCCTGCCCCTGCGTGCCTGCGCTCGGCGCTGTGGGAGGCTGATTTCGGCTCCAGGGCCCACTGCGATTGCTGTCAATTCGGTGAACCCGTAAAGACCACTCGGGGGAGTTCTCCCCCCCCCCCTCTCCACTCAGGCGATCGCAAACATGGATCAAGGGGGCGTGGATTAGCGACGGGTCCCGTTTCCGTGGGAAATCGCGGATGCCCGCCGCCGAACGAGGCGGCACCGGCCGCGTTTTGCGAAGGGCACCTCCCCCGATCCATGGATTTGGCGACCGCGCGCCAAATCCATGGATCGCTAATCCATGTTTGTCAGGAGGAAAAGAAACACACAGACACAATTAATCCTCGATTCCCCAGAAAATATGGGAAAGTATGGGAAGTGCTTGGGAAGACAGAAACCCAGAAAATATAGGAAAATATTGGGAATATTTTTATTTGTGTGTATTTATTTGTGTGTGTCCTGGGGCCCCTTCAGTTTGCGCGCCCTCTCTCCACGCGACGGCACCGAAGGTACGCGGGGGGCCGGTTCCCCCACGGGCATGCCGTGGTGTTCCACGGGCACGTTGGCAGTGCATGCTTTGGTGCGCACGCGCACGCCGTGGTGCTCACAGGCCCGGCCTTCCCCCCCGTCTCCCCCGCAACAGGCGTCACGGTGGAGGTCTAAACACGCGCCCTCCTTCTCTCGGGCCGGACGAAAGGGGGGGATTGGGAAAGTGGGGGGGTACGAAATCTGCTGCATGCAGCTGGTTTCGGCCCCACCGAGGGGCCCATTCCTCGATACATAGCTCCATCCGGCGCCGGGAGGCGCCGGGAAAATCAGCTACGTGAGCTGATTCTCACCCCCCCCCTTTGCTATCTGCTATGCCCCCCTTTCGCCCGACCCGATAGAGGCCCGACGACGAGCCCCTGGAGGCCGAGGGCGAGGAAGCGCGCTGGCATCCCAGAAAGCGGATCGTCCGAGATCGGGGCTTGGGGACACAGCTCGGGGCCTCTGGCCGTTCGGGTGCTCTTGGCACCCCCCGAGCGCTCGCGGCGAGGCGCGGCTGTTGGGAAGCGTCCCGAGGCGAAAGAACCTCAAGGAACCAACGATCGGCATCACCAAGTGCGTCGCTGCAGACATCCTCAGAGAGAGAAGAAGAGATGTTCAGTGAGCGTCCGAATTCGACGTACCTTCAAGAGCTCTACTCTCGTCTGAGACATCCTCACACATGGAGGCGTCACCAGAGAAGTCTGACAGCAGGTTCTTTGACGTCATCTCCCCACCAGGCTCGTGGGTCCCTCCAGTTGCTCGCGACATCGGGTCTCAGGGTTCAGTCGGGCCTGTCCCTCTCCAGGAGGAGTCTTGAAAAATAGTTAAACAATAGCCTGGGGACGATTTTTGGAGCATGCTTGGGCGTTTGTGGGGATGCTGTTTGACTATATATTTTTTAGTTTCGTCCAAAAAGCCGCCTGTAGGGGGGACACGCCCGACCTGATCTCGGGGGCGGCGGAGGCACTCCACGTGCGGCCTGCTGCGTCCGGCGGGCCACGCACAGACCCGGGCTGCTCTGGGGGCCGTTCTGGGGCGCCCCCGGGGGCCGTCGACCACGCAGGCGCTGGGTGGGGTTCGGGCCGGACGACCAGGGGGGGATTTCGGGGGCGGAATAGAAAGGGGTGATGACTAGGGGGGGGGGGATATCATGGCGGGGGCCATGATATTTCCTCAGATGTCATGGCACCTCTTCTTATTTCATTACGTCCCTGGCCCCCCCCGCTGGGCCGCGCACATGCCGCCGGTCATGATTTGCACCCCCCCCTCTTGGACACCCCCCTCTTGGCCGCTCCCGAGAATTGGGGAAGGGGGTGTCACGAGAGCTGCTGCCTGCAGCTGGTTCCGGCCCCACCGAGGGGCCCAGTCCTCGATGCATAGCCGCCTCCGGCGCCGGGAGAAGCGGCCACGTGAGCTGATTCTCAGCCCCCCCCCCGCTGGTATCCCCCCCTTTCGCCCGGCCCGAAGGGTGTCGGGAGGGCCGTGGCCCTCGGGTTGGGGCGTGTGGGACAGAGGCCTGGGCATTTTTGGGGCACTAGGACCAAGGCAGAGGGGCGTCTCCCTCGGCCACGCGCAGAGGGGGGGTAGTGGGAGGAGGGAAGGCTTCTTAGCAGGAGGCTGCTTCTTAGACGTCCCCCTATCCCCTTGCGCGCGCCACCAAGATTCCAACGGGAAGAGATTCGAGCAGTGGCGAAGCGTCCTGGCTCGCCTATAGCCCCACCAAGCAATGTTCCAAGAACCGTTTGTGGTTTCCACGAAATGTTCTTAGAACATTTCTGGTTGAGGCTGTCTTGTTGTATCACATCGGCTTCATGTTCTAAGAACAGTGTTTTTGTTCTTAGAGCATATTTGGGTTCTAAGAACATTTCGTGGTAGGACTATAGGAATGCTGGGACGATCGGTCCCTGCTCAAGAGATGACCTCGATGTTAGTGTTGGCGGCCTGAAGGAGTTGCCTTTGAACTCACGTCATCCTGACCCCTGGCGCGCGAGGAAGTGAGGCTATCTTTTGCGACTCCTGTGCGGCTTCGGCGAATCTGACGGACTCTGGCAGAATCTGGCGCAGAGCCCCAAGCCGGCGCCTGCGCTCCGGAATCGGCCCAGGGGAGGGGGCGAGAGCGATTTTCTTGCACCGTGTCCAGGAAAGGCGCACTCTTCAGCTCTGCATGCAGCAGCGCCCGATGGACCGCAGAGCGGTTGGAGTCCTACTAACACTATGAAGGCACAGCCTCACTGAGGTCCCCGTAGTCGCATCAGGGATCACAAGTCCGGGCGCGTTGGTTCGAGACATTTGCAGAAAAGACCCCCTATCCCCAATGTGTTCTGGGCCCTCCTGGCTCAGGTCTTCCTCCCCCCCAAAGGGTTGGGGGTCCTCTTATTGCTAATCATCCAGCGTCATGGCTGTATTGATGCTGCTGTCGACCGCTGAGCCTCCAGTTTTCTTGCGTTTTTTTTTTTTTTGTTCTCAACCCTGGAGGGGGGCGGGGCGCTCTGCGAGTCGGGGGCGGCGGGAGCGCCCGGCGCCGATCCGAGATCATCGAGGATCAAAGGTCGCCTAACCCTAACATTAAGTCGGGCCTGTCCCCCTACAGGGGGAATATTCAAAAATAGTCAAAAAATAGGATAGGGACTATTTTTTGTATTTTTGGGCATCGTGTGAGCATTTTTGGAGTATGTTTTATTTTGTCGTCCAAAACCCCCCTGTAGGGGAACAGGCCCGACCTAACCCTAACAACACGATGAGGACGTGGCCTCACAAAGGTCCCCGTTCCATGAGGGATCATAGTTCTGGGCAGTCTGGTCTGATACAGCTGCAGAAGAAGGCTCCCTTATCCCGAATGATTCTGGCACTCCAAACTCAGATCCCCTCCCGAAGGATTAGGTGCCCCTTCATTGCTAATCCAAAGATGGAGTCAGGGGGATCAGGGTTTGTTTACTGTGGGCAGCTGCGCGGCGGACTCGCGAACGGGCCGACGCACAAGGCGCGGAGACGAGGGACGTAACCTCCACGGCATAGGTTGGCAGATCACATCTATCAAGTAGAAGTGGACGCCGTCGTAGTTGACCAGGTCGTCGCAATCAAGGCCGACGTCACAAGTTCGCTCAGCTCGTTCTTAATGATCTCGCATTCGATGAGTTGCTGCTTCCACCCCATCCAAGAGACAATAATCCGGGCCGCAGTATTCTCCACAGCATATGTGAGCTCCAGCATCGTGCTCTGCTTCTCCAGTAGGCTCCGAGCCCTCGTCGAAGGTGTCGACGCTTTCTCAGATCTCCGAAGATACACCTGTACCATGAGCAGCACCCACCTTGCACGTGCACACCTGCTGAAAGCGCAAGACATTGTCCACGTTCTTAGGGAGATGTTCCACCAACCTCGCCCTCAACCTCGAAATCTTCTTGCTGAAGTGCTTCAGGAACGGCCTTGCTTTCACCATCACGCGATGCAATAAAATCAAGCTCCAACTGAAGAACTTCACAATCATGCCGATGATGTTTCTTCTCCTTTTTGAGCCGCCCCAGGCTCCGTTTCTCCTTGCGGTCATCGGGCGACCACTCCTTGCGGGGCGGCCTCACACGTCCCTTGGTGGGGCGTGGTATTTGCGGCAGCGGCCTCTTCCTCATCCTCATCTTCCTCCTCCTAACTCGAGGCAGAAGACCTCGGGTAAGTCAGACCCATGGGCGCCTCCCCTCCACGCTCTTGACGTACGGGTCCGTGTTGTGAAAATTTGTCTTGGCGGTGGGGGCGTTGGAGGAGCTTTAGGCATCATCCAGTACTCTACCTCCTCGGAGATCGTGTCGACAATCTTCGGCGGCGGGACGGGGGGGAAGTGAGAAGGGGCAGGTCTTCTCAGAAGGCTCGGAGGTGCCCTGGCTTTTGAGAAGTGTTTAGAGCCTTCCCCAAAGGGACATAAAGCTCCTCAGAAGTCGCGAGCGCTTCTGAGAAGTCCCGCCGCCTTCTGAGAAGGTCTTCCCTTCTGCCTTCTCAAATTTCCCCCCAAATTTCGCCCGCCGCCATGTTCTCATCGGCCGCCTTCGGGCACACGGCCTGAGCATGCTCGCCGCCAATGTTCTCATCGGCCGCCTTCGGGCACACGGCCTGAGCATGGTCGGAGGCGGCGGTGGCACATGCACCGTCTCCTCACTGGTGCATTTGGCCCCCATCCCTCGCCATGAAGGGAACTCTCTTCCTCCTCCTCCTCCAATATTCCTACTCCTCCTCTTCCCCTCCCATTACTCCTCCCGCCCCCGTATGACCTGGCCACGCCCAGCAGCCAAGGGCACGTGCATAGGTGGCGGCGGAGGCCTGACCAGCTTGCGCAGACCACTGCTGGTGCGCACCGAGATTGCCGTGAACTCCACCGGCACGACGCCCCTTCCCGTGCAAGATGCGGTCGGCCTGCTTGTCTGACACGATGAGCACCGACGAGAGGAGGCCGCGCTGGTTGATGAGGAAGAGTTGGTCGAACAGCTCGACATTTACGAGCCCTTGGTGAGCGTTTTGCTCCTCCCCAGGGTGTTGTTAAGTCGGGCCTGTCCCCCTACAGGGGGATTTTCGACGAAAAATAAAATATACACCAAAAATACTCCAAAAATAGTCCCAAAACAGTCTGGGGACTATTTCTTGAATATTTTTTGGCCTTTTTGGAGCATTCTGGGGGCATTTTTTATTTTTCGTCGAAGATCCCCCTGTAGGGTGACACGCCCGAGTTCAGGGTAGCGCTCGCTACCCCGGCCGCCCCCCCCGTCCCCCCGGGGAAACGCTAACGATCGTACTTGGGGGGGAAGGGCTTGGACCCCCCCAATGCTGCAGTGCACACAGGCGATTGATGCGTCGGTGGCGCGGACGCACCACGCCGCGGCCGCCGTTACCATTACCCTCCCGTCCGACGCCCTTCCCCCGGGTAGCGACCGCTGGGCGGGGAAACAACAAGAACGGTCGCCTGCGGAGCCACGAGCAACCTGCAAGAGAGGACGGAGAGCTTCCCAGGGCATGGTTACGCCGGGGTGTGGCTTGCGTTTGGCACAGCTGGGGCCCGGGGAGCACGACACTGTCCTCGCTGGGCCTCCTCGGGTCGCGGCGGAGAGCTCTGTCGAGGTCCCCGCCCGCCCTCCAGGGTGCCCCCCCCCAGGGCG